CCCAGTAATCAGTGATGCTGCATTCACGCAGCCGGCTAATCTCGCCATACGCAAGACGGACACCCGTTGTGAGGAGAGAGAGAGAGAGAGAGAGAGGGAGAGAGAGAGAGAGGGAGAGAGAGAGAGAAAGAGAAAGAGAAAGAGAAAGAGCAAGAGCAAGAGAAAGAGAAAGAGAAAGAGAAAGAGAGGAAGTATAAGTAATTCCAGAGAAAGAACAACTAGTGAGAGAAATTATGCTGATGAACTGAGTATGACTGCGTCTGTATTATGAGCAAGGCAAACACACAATAATGGAGATGAGGCTAACTTCCGCAACTGTGCGAGCATAATAGAGCAACCGCTTGAGCAATCGTTGGCAGTGCAAGTGTAATCATGAACCGAGCGTGACTATGTTTGTAGTCATGGAAAAGCAAGACAAGCTTGAATAATGCGCACGAGGTCCTGTTGGCAGTGCTAACTCACAGCTTGCTTCGACGGAGAACGGAGATGGATACCGCTATGCGAGCTACGAGCACATGACCATGTGAATGTATGTCAGACCATGTGTATGGACAACAAGCACGATTCTGCATAGAGAGCCACATCCAACAGCGCGTGGGTCGCCGTAGCACACAAGGTTTGTTCTGCAACTCCGAAAGCTGAGCGTGTGCCCGTGAAAGATCGCGCGGTCTGAAACACGTCTGAAAGAGCCTTGCGAGCCTGTGATGGCGATGTATATCGTGACACGTGCAAGGTTAGAGGTTTCGAGGACACGATTTTGGAGCCAGAAAACGCTCATGGTTCCAGCTTCAACACAGCGTGCCTACATAGTATTAGAAGAATGCACACAGCTTACACACGCTTCTGTTTGGGGGAAGGGCGACTTCTGCAATGTACATTCAGGGCAGTCTATCATGAAGCTGGCTTGGTGTCCGGAATCTAGGCCTGCAAACTGGGCCGAAAACCCTCACAAAAAGCTGCTTAACGGTCGACGTTGGTTGTGCCCGGCTCCCTTTCAATGGTTGCACACACCGGCTGGACGCGCGGCTGGACTACAATGCTACAGTGCAGTGAAAATGACAATCACGGCACCTCCCCTGACCCTAATTAATATTGTAAAACCCAAACGGGGTGTAGGGTCCCACGTAGAGAAGAGCAGGGACCCACCGGGTCCCACCACGTCCCACCGAACCCGATTTGGGTCCCACGTAGAGAAGAGCTGGGACCCACCGGGTCCCACGGAACCCGATTTGGGTCCCGCCGTAGAGAAGAGCTCGGACCCACCAGGTCCCACCAAATACGTGTCGTGACACGCGCAAGGCTGGTGGTTTTAAGGGCGCGATTTTGGGTCCAGAAAATGCTCTTGCTTCCGGCTTCAACATGGCGTGCCTCCATAGTATTATAAGAATGCAATCAGCTTACATGCCCCTCTCTCTGTCTGGGGGAAGGACAAATTTTGCAATGTAGGGCCATGTCGCAGCAAGCTACGTGCAAGCTTTTGGTCTAGTCTAGAGAACGCTTGGGCAGCCACAGGGCATTGGATTGGCAAGCAAAACATCCGACTTCCCGTGCCGCGGGCCGAGTTTTGTAGCCACGGAAACTCCGTATTTTGGGAACCACAATGTCGGCACCAATCATTCAAACTACTTGTCGGGCTACTTTGTGTTCCCATTGTTGCGACCAGATTTGCTTCCCGTGTTGGGGTTCCGGTTTCAGAGTCGCTCTGCGGACCCCAAAATTGGACCAACGCACAGTAGGGCCATGTCGCAGCAAGCTACATGCAAGTTTTTCGTCAATTCTAGAAGGACTGACATTTTGGCAACTGCAGCGCACCAGATGGGCAAGCGAAACATACGACTTCTGGCGTCAGAATGTGGATGGCAGCCTCTTTCAATGCTGTGGAGTTCTCCGCTTAAACGCAACATTGTAGCTCAGGAACTTGAGCTCAAGCTTAAGCGTGTTTTTGAACTCGTTGTTTGTCCTGAGCTGATTCTCGAGCCATCAAGAGCATTCCCGTTGGCATAGATCGACTGCATAGCGTTCCAGTCAAAAGGAAGGTTCTGCCAAGCGTGTCTGCAAGGGAAGAACGGGAGAGTGAACGACTATACGTGTACAACAACAACCACCCCGCATTACAAGGCATTACATCTATCACTTAGAGAAGCTCGTGTCAGGGTGAGCCATCAACGACCTTATCGGTTACCAAACCTCACGCAAAAGGCAATCAACAAGGGAACACAGACGCGAATCAGGAGACGGATTACTTGCTCATGACACAGGCCTGTGACAATGGCGAAGACGGCAATGGCGATGATGCGAACGAGGGCAGTGCTGACGACGGAGCAAATTACAACGCTACGATGTAGCTGCACGTATTTCACGCGATCTCTGTCACAAGATACGAAACATGCCGCGGAAGCTTCTTAATGAAGATGTGAAAATGCCCACACATCTCGTCGGAATGTAGTGGAAATCTTCATTCGATGGTTCAGACGCTTATACCCGATGTCGACATGCTGCCATTGGCTCTCAGAGATCATACAACGTTAGTGGGAGCTGTAGGCCTGTGTGCCCTGCTTCCCTGGAGCCGAATTTCGCTCAAGCAGACATAATGTCTAATGCCGTCCACGTTCATCGTGAGGAGGTGGTGATGCGTCTACGTCAGGATCACGCAAGCGTCCTGACAAGGTTTCCTGCTGTCTCCTGTCTTATTCCATGCAGCACAGACCCCAACATGACTCATGCATACTTCAGATCCTATGTTCGTCGCGCTGACTGCATTCTATCGGCATTGGCTATTGGATCTACATTAGACGTGCGCAGTCGCATGTTGAAGGCATTCAATGAGATCATCCAGGAAGATCCAGAACTACAGAACGTCATCGCCTGCACGGGCGAGGATTCCACAGTTGGAAGGATGGAAGCGATGATCTCATACATACACATGTTACAAAGCATGGTTGACCTTCGCCGAGTCACCGATGTACGGGCATCTCGAGGAGAAGTGCATTCGCATGAAACACGACATCTTAAGCGCAGTGGGGCAATTCAGAATGCCGTTGAGCAGTTCAATCATATTTTCATGGAGTTCCCCAGTGCCTGGTGCCTACTACCAGATCCTTGTGACTTGAGAACTTTCGAATCCAGTTCTAAACGACCAGACCCTAAACCAGAAACGGCCTGTGAAGTTCAAACCCCAATTGCCATTCCAATAAAGGAGTTCGAGCAGCACAAGGCGTATCTGCTTTCCAAAGGACCCGGTGACAAGTGGCACCGCATGCAATCCAGCGGCTTGAGAGCACTAACATTCATTTTTCGAATTAAACGCATTGCGAGTGATATTTCCTGTTTTGTAATCTCGTATATACACAGAAGACTATGTTGTTTTTCGAAATCATGCAAAGGACATGATTCATCCGTACGTGTTTTACTGGTACAACAGTGAAACGCGGTTGTCCGTCCGGTTCTAGGGTGACGAGCGTGAAGCTTCATTTTTCTTGCCGCAAGCATGTTTCAAAAAGCGCAACAAGGACTCCTGTTCTTGATGTGCAGTGTGGTGTACTTCTTTTTAACATAAACTTAAGGTTTTCGGGTTGAGTGCTTAGGATTAAGTCTGTGGCATCTTGCGGTTGCCGGACGAAAAGTGCCGGCCAGCGTTTCTTTTGCGAGCACCCGCTGGCCGAAAGTGCCAGACAAACGCAACAGCAAGTGGAAGAAAGGAAGCGGTGACTGGTTTGAAGTTTGAAGTTCAGATGCTGCAGCATGGTTTTTAATAAGGACAGAAGAAGAGATCCTCACATGGACCCTAAAGGTCCAACGCACATAGGGCTTATAGGGTTTATGAGCTTTGGGGCTTATAGGGCTTATGTGGTTTATGAGGTTTGGGGCTTGTAGGACTTATAGGGTTTATAAGGTTTAGGGTTTGTAGGGCTTAGTGGGTTTATCGGGTTTAGGGCTTATAGGTTTTATCGGGTTTAGGGCTTATAGGGTTTATACGGTTTAGGGCTGATAGGGCTTACAGGGTTTATAGGGTTTAGGGCTTATAGGTTTTATCGGGCTTAGGGCTTATAGGGTTTATACGGTTTAGGGCTTATAGGGCTTACAGGGTTTATAGGGTTTAGGGCTTATACGGGCTTATAGAGCTTAGGGTTTAGGATTCAAGTTATCATGTATTACATATGTATATGCCTATATACAGCTACGTATACATGTACACATACATGTATACATATATAGATTCATGTATATATCCATACTCCTAACAACATAGTTGTGTATTAGTTTTCGTTTAAGGGGTGGGGTTCTATCAGGTTTGTAAGTGGTTATATCAGGGTTCTGGGGCTTTCGGGCTCTTTCTGAGGTTTATCGGGTTCTATGTGAACCCAGCGGGGGGGGGGGTCGGGTATTGTATATTTATATCAAGGTTTTAATGAGGGTGTTGGGGTTCAGAACGGCACATGGGTTCTCTGGGCTTAGAGTCTAGAGTCTAGGTATCATGACTGGGGAAAGACTTTTGACTTCGAGGGCGAAGTCCCCTGCCTTAGCATCATACATCTCACCACGGGTCCTTCGCTTTCTGTCCAAAAGGTTTTGCTGAATCCCCAATCCTGTCACAGAACCCGGTTCATTCTTACACACCACTGGACTTTGGGGGTCAGATGCCACGAGTTGTGAGCAAGTTCGTGAACCTTACGCTGCAACTTCCAGAACCCCAGATCCTATACCCCTTTGAATCCTCCTCGAACATTAATAACCTCTAGACAAAAAGTTGCAACCCTTACATTGTCTGGACCACCCTAAAGCAGCCAAACATGGGAGCAACTCGAAAATCTAACAACCGCCAGACCGAACTCATTGCGGCATCATCCAGTCCTGGCACGGAGCACTGAAACCCTAAACTTACCTTCGGTTAGTAGGGAATGGAAGAATGGTAGTAATCGTAGTTAGAATTGTACCCCATTCCTCCACTCCCTACTAACCAAAGGTAAGTTTTCCTAAACGCTGAGCCCTGAAACATTGAGGTGACCGTCTATAATCCAGCCCTGGCGCAGCAGTCCTGCTCCGAGGTGTGGAAGCAGGATAGGGTTTAGGGTTTAGGGTTTGGGGATAGGGGCTGTAAGTGCAGAAGGCTTTCTAGACCCCATGCTTCCAGGGGCCCTATTATTGTGTACTGTGTACTTAAAGCGAGTCTAGGGCCCTCTCTATAATCTCCTTGGAAGCATAGGGAGAGAAACCTCAGCATTGCCAATATTTTCCCGGAGCTCCTGAAATTATAACTATACTCTCTTCTTCTCGAATACCAGCCTAAACCCTAAACCGTAAAGAGGTGTCATGCTGCATGCAAAGCTCCAGGTTCAGGGGACTTTCCTGGGTTTTACTGAGGTTAGGGTTTGTAGGACTTCACACGGGCTTGGTAAGAACTCTAGATGGTGTAGCTGAACGGGTTCTGTTCGGGGTTTGAGTCTAGGTTCTTTGGGTTTGTACTTTAGGGTCTGAGAGTTCGGAGTTTGGGGTGTTAGGGTTTGTCACTTCTTGTTTACAGGGTTTTGGTGATAGGGTATGTAAACGAAGCCTCCCAGGGGGCCCTTTTTTTCCCTTTTTGTAGTCCTGGGTGCCTTCTAAAGTTACACAATACCAAAAAGGGAGCCCTTTTTACTCCTAGGTTACTGGGCATCCTAGTAAAGGATTCACGTGCTCGGCCTGGGGCTCCGGCCTAGGGTTTAGGGTCTGCAGGGTAGGGTTGATGATATAAACCCTGCATCACCCATAATAGGGAATATACCATAATTCCCATAGTCTAGGGTCCTTAAGGTAATGCAGGATTTATATCATCAACAGTATGGCACGAGGCCCAGTCCAGGGTTTAGCTTGCAGGGTGTAGATGGGTTGCTTTGGCACGCTTCATAAAACATCAAATCACACCTCAACCTCAATCTCTACTTGGAGCTTCATGGGTAGTTATAAGTGTTTTAGAAGTCCTCTAATTATGGGTTATAAGTATAGCTATCCTACTTATAACCCTATTTATAACTACCCATGAACCTCCAAGTATACTCCATACCGCAAGCCCGACCCGCTCAACCCCAAGGCCTAAGCCTTAACGTCCCAAGCCCCAAGCCCTAACTAAGCTAAAGCTTGGGTACGGCCCCCACTCAGTATCAGTTGGATAATATTCGTAATATAGATATACAAAGTCCTTAATAGTGGCCCTATTATAGACTGTTACTGTATGGGGGCCGTACCCAAGCTAAACCCTACACCCTAAGACCCGATGCTGGGATACCGCCTTTAGATGTTCGTGCTTGCATATCGTTGAGTTTGCAAAGGGTTAAGGTCGGGGTTGGGGCTAAAGAGCTCAACACAACCTTGGGGCCTGAAATACTGGATTGGGGATTAGGGTACATTATGTTGCAGTATAGTTGTGACAGTAAGAAACACCACCAAAAATAATCTGGGTAACAATGTTCAGGCTTCTGTATTACTCCTTTTCGTCGAAGTCCCATCGACCCTTCATTCCAGGTTTGAGGTTTTAGAGTTTAGAGGTTCAACATAGCTCAAAACCCTTGTGTGAATCGCCTATGGTCTCAGAAGAGTTGATTTACCGAATAAAAGGACACTATAGAGGCAGGAATAATTGAGCCTTATATATGTACACTATAATGTAGTCCAAATTCCCCATTCTCTAACTTCATATTGGTTCGTTCAGGGTCTTGCGTGGTTCGAGATACTAGGACCTACATAGAGTAAGCCCTGGAACCCCTAAACCCCAAACCCCTAAGCCCCTTTAAGTTGTGATTATTCAGAATTAAGAGTTGGGGTCTTGTGGGCCGAAAAGCGCGAGACCCAGGACCCCTAGGCCCTAGGTGTTTTAACCTGAAACTCAGCTGTCTTATTATGGAAGCGCAGTATTCCCCTCTGCCCAATAGTTTAAGTTAAGCTCCTGCAGTTAATCCCACGTCCCTCGTACAACCAGTATGAAGCACCATATCTCCGAATAGAAGTCTTGCAAACCTCCAAGCGTCCGTGGGTGTAGGAAGCCCGGATGAGCCTTGGTCCAGGAACACTCAAATTGAGCACTCTCGCAGGTGGGTGGCAGCTACTACAGCTGCCCAAATCTGCCTTTGCGTTACCTTACTTGGGAGGCCAAACGGCTTCGAGGTTTAAGGTTCAGGTCACGGTTTGGGGTTGGTGACTAGGACCCAGAGTAGGCCCTTATTCCCTTTTTTAGGGTTTAGGTTCCCTTATAGCACCCTTTAGACCAAAAAGGGCACCCTTTGTATGCCTAGGTTACTCTTAGGTCTAGGTGATTAAGTAAGCCGACAGCCCTGCACGGCGCATGCTTTCACGGCACATGAACGTCGCGCTTCGCAGGCCAAGCTTACACGACACGTCTATTTGGGGTTGCGTGCTGGCTGCTAGTAGTGATTGAAGCACAACCCCGGGTGCTGGCAAGGGAGCACTACTTAGTTCTTTGTTTCCGTGTTGCCTGTAACCATGCTTTGGGCAATCGTAGCAGGATTTGGCAAGTTTGGGGTCTTAAACCCTAAGCCGAAGCACCGAAAAGTAGAGCGAGCGTGGTGGAACATGATATGGGTAGTTGTCAAAATTAGTGTCCCTTTTTGGGTACCCTAAATTGCCCTAAATAATAGGTCCGTATTATAATAAAGGGACCCTAATATTGACATCCACCCATATCCTCATGCTAGTAGAGCATGGAGAGTCAGAGTTAGAGTTCACGGACTTAGGTCTTAGGGATTTTAGGGCTTGGGGATTTAGGGTTTAGGGCTTAGGGTTTAGGGTTTCAGGGTTTAGGGATTTAGGATTAATCATGTCTCAGCGCACTCTTTCTCACAACAAGGCCCATACCCCAGCACCCCTCATCTGTTTCTACTATATTATCATGTTCCCCAGAACACCATCCGATTAGTTACCGCCCTTGGCTATTCTATACTAATCTCTTTGAAGCCCTTAGCTATACTATACTACCTAGAGGCTATACCTTACTCCTTTTTTAGGGCGCCTACCTTTTTAAGATATCAGATCCTAAGCATAAAGCTAGGTATCCAAAAAAGGAGTAGGGTATGAGCCTCTGGTAATCTCTTAAAAGCCCCCCTACGACAATCACAACATGGCAGCCCCCAGAGGCTGCTGGCGGACCCGCACATCGTGTGCTGAGCAAGTCCCTTGCCTCATTTTTTGTGGGTCTAATGGTTCTATAAGATGGTGTTGAGAAGGAATTTGGGATTCAGGGTTAGGGGGGGTTTAGAGTTTTGGGTCTAGGGCCTGCGGGGGTTTGTTGGGGACCTCTTTGTTGTTGGTCTTGCGCAGGGTTTAGGGTTTTGGGTCTATAGGGTTTATTGGGGGGGGCTTGGTACACGATTTCGGGGTTTAGGGAGTGAGGGTTCATGACTTTAGAATGTAGCGCTTAGAGCTGAAGTCTGCAGGGTGCGTAAACCCGCCTGTCGGCGGGTTTGGTTTGCAGGCTTGACTAGGGGTGCACAGGGTGCAGTGTGGGTAAAGCTTGCATGCACGCATACCTGCACACACAGGTGGAGTTTCATCGTTCTTATTATGCATATGCAGTTTAAACATAGATATACACATGGGTGTGTATGGTCGAAGTGCATTCTGGACCAGGTTTCGACAGGCAGTGAACACGTAGCCATGTGCAGCCATGCATCGTTTGTTTTCCCTGCGGGACGTAGCTACGCTTGGAACAGGACTTGAGGAGGGTTCAGGGGTAGATTCACAGCAGATAGTTGCATCAGGTTTATCAGTGCCATAACCCTGCCCCTAACCGCCTAACCCGTACTTACATCGCTCAAACTAGATCAAACTCACAAACCCCTAAACCCCAAACCCGGGCCCAAACCCTCAGGTTCAAGGCTTGGCGCTCCTCCGATCGGCGGGCGACCTGGTCACAAGGCGCTTGGCCCATGTTGTTAGAGATCCGCCTCATTATTAGGGTGTAGGTTTTTGGGTATGTTCCTCAATCTTCTTCGTTCTTAATTAGTGTATGATCGTCCCTGATAGTGGGCGTCCCTTGTAACTTGTTAGTCGGTATAACCAGCTAGGAATATTACATTGGGGGCCTCTTTCTAAGGGGGCCCGAATCTAAAGAACTACCCGCATGAAAACCCTTATGAATTACTTTAAAGCGGATCTGCCCATGTTGAAAACCCTATAGAAACCCTTCTAGCCGTAAAGCAGGGGCCCTGAGGTAAGCAAGTACCCACATCGTAGGCCGGGGCTTCATCGGGGCAGTCTACTTGGAGGGTCGGGGAACTTAGTAACTGGTTATTCTAGGGACTTATAAGTACCATAACCCCAATTAGGGTCCCTTTTAGGGTACTTATAAGTCTACTTACTACCTACTTACTAAGTCCCCCGACCAGCCAAGTAGGAGGCTTGTCGCCCTCAGCATCTTGTATTTACGGTCCCCACGATCCCAGCCTTGTCCTTTTTCATGGTTCCCCCAAAAGATGAACAGACCGGCTAGTAGACCTTCTTAAATAATTCCTACAAAGGGATATAGGTATAGGGCTCCGTCTATTATTTCTAGAAGGACAAGGGTGCACGATCCCTGCTGTAATCTTGAGGAGCCCTAAACTCGTTCTTTGCGTTGCATGTTTTCAGTGTAGGCCCCTTTGAGAGGGTTTACGGGTTAGGGTTTTGCGTTTTGGGGTTCTAGGGTTTAGGATTTAGGGTTAAGGGTTTAGGGTTTAGGATTTTAATTTGTGGCAGGCATCTTCCTGCGTCATTCGTGCTGTGGGAGAAAGAAGCCATTGCACTTAAAACAAGCCGCAGCCCTTGACCCTTAACCCTTAAATCCTAAATACTAAACTCTGGAAGAGCTTATGGTTTAGTTTTTCGGGCCTGTTGCTGTGAAGTTTGAGATTTGTGTCTTCGTGCGAATTCGGGATGCAGGAACCTGGTGCCATGAAGAACCAATCTAAGGGTTTCAGGGTTTAGAGTTTGGAGATCCAATGTTGCCGGAGAAGCTTCTTGGTGGCACTCCAGGCTCCAAAACCCTCGACTCGCAAGACAGGGGCATAATGTAGAAGCTTGATCAATTACCTAAGCCACCCCTCCAGGGTCCGTGTGACTTTTGCTGCAATATACTATAAAGTTAGGGCCCCCAAACCTTAAACTGTAGAGTACCTACGGTTGATGATATAAATCCTGCATTACCTTAAGGACCCTAAACCACGGGAATTAATGCATATTCCTTATATTATATAGGTAATGCAGAGTTTATATCATGAACGGTATGACCTTGATTTGTGGCAGGTCCGATGCCGGCAAAGGGCTGCATTCCGGACGACCCGGATCAGGATGACGATTTGGTGGGTTTCCGAAAATAGGGGTAGCCCATTTTGGGGTCCTTATAATAAGGATCCTACTATTTAGGGTACTATATTAGGGTCCCCTATTTTCGAAAACTCCCATGATTTAGGATTTAGGGTTCTTAAGTGTTTAGGGTTTAGGACCCTACCTACTATGTCCCCTGTTCTTTCAAGTACGGTCTCAGAGTTGCAGGCCATGAGTGCTTCAGAGCCTTCGGTTTCGCTTTGGTTCAGGGATTCTTGGCAACCAGCAGCAGAATCAGAATGCCTGCATGCAGGACCGGAATTGGAAGATCAGGCCAAACGACACCTACAAGCTCACGATGTTTACGCCTCGTGCTTCAAGAAGGGAGATACCCATGCCCTGTTGCATTTGTTTAGGCATTGAGGTTACTTGGAGGTGCAGGGTAGATACTGCAACAGCCACATTGCCTACACGTACTCTTAAGGTCCGGTTAATAGGTAACCAGCTAAAGCAGACATTAGTCATGTGTCAAGTGCGCACCACAAATCCAGAAGCCCTGTAAACCCTTCAGAACCCTCCTAAACTTCAGCACCTTTTCAGCACCTCTCAGGTATACAGAACCCTCATACTTAGGGACTTGAACCTCGGGACCTCCATTCCTCTTTGGTTTGGGTTGGAACGTGTGAGCTTCATCCCTATAGGATGGGATCACAGTATTGGCTTGTGCCCCTGGTCAAGGTGTATCTTATCCGAAACCCTAAGCCGCAAGTCCCAAAACTTCTTCGAAGTTCCCCCGAACATACCAGACACTTGAGCCGAAACTCTGCGGAACATAGCACTCCTACACTATGACAGCTTGCCCTACATATACATATATATATATACATATACATACATATGTATACATACACACATGCATTGAACCGCAAAGCCTAGACGAAAACCAGGTCGCCACCGAAGCATCATCGCCTGTTCTGGTTCAACGATAATGACGCTTGGCTGGAACCCTGCGCTTCGTCATTCTACAGCCTTCTATAGAAAGCCCAGGACTCCTCAGGGTTTTAGGGTTTAGAGTTTGGGGTTTAGGGTTTTAGGGTTTTAGGGTTTAGAGTTCAGGGTTTAGGGTTTTAGGGTTTTAGGGTTTAGGGTTTAGGTTTTAGGGCTTTAGGGTTTTATGGTTTGGGGTTTTGTGCCAGACTTCGGGCTTTCTTGGTAGACTCTTGTTTGCTGAGGTTCTTGCATTATGGCCATGGCAACGCGACCCTTCTTGTAGGGTTTACACTAGAAGCCGAAAAGTTGGAAACCCCATAGCCTCAATCCTTCAGAGTAATGTATAGGGAATCCCAGCACTATTTGGCCTTAATCCGCTTTCCAACCTTATGGGGTTTACTGTAATAATTTTCGTTGCCGGACCAGCAATGATGGCTTTGGGGAGAGGTAAGCTAAACATTGGCATGAGGCAAAAAAGGGGAGATATGGATGCTGTGATGGGCCCTTGAAACTACAACATTTGCAACAACAGCGGGATCCCGCAGGTGGAAGCCATTTACTGGTAGCTGGCAGTTTAAACACTCCAAATAACCCAAAGTAGTTGACAGGACTTCTCTATAAGCCTAGGTCCCCGGGGTAAGTGTGATTTGCCCACTTGAGATTTTACAGCCTCGCCCCAAATTCTACACTGCAGATCCTTGGGCAAAGGCCGACGAGGCTATCCGTTTGGACATCTTCCTCACACAGCCGTTCCGATTGGAGGCGCTGCCAGCATCACTCTAGTCGCTAGGCGTAGGGTCTAGGCTCCAGGAGTCAAGGTTTTAGCGAGAGTCGGGATTTACTGATGTTGTTTCGGGGCCGTGGTTTCAATGATTCTATAGCCTGCAAAGTTTACACCTGCTTGGGGTACTGGTTCATCTACTCTCACTTCCAGACCTTTGAACCGTAAGCCCTAAGCCCTAAGCCTTAAATCCCTATACCCTAAAACCTCCTACTAAACCGCCGAACTCCAACTTTCCTGTCCACCGGTTTTAGGGAATTTAGATGTCCTGAAATAAAGGATCCGAAATCTCAGTAAGTAGGAGTCTTTAACCGCTCTTGGTGGGTTTGGGTGGGTTGGGGGGCTACGAAAGTGAGTAGGGTCCAGAGTCGTTATAGATGCGGCTGCTTATGACCCCAATCACAATTGAGGCCCCGGCACTCTGAATTACCTTAAGAAAACCTACTTTTTTGTAGGGTCCCTATAAATCCCATATTAGGGTTCATAATAAGAACCTACAAAAAAGTAGGGTTTGGTAGTTTAAGTTTAAGGTAGTGCAAGTGTCCTGATACCGCAAATACAGGGTTGCTGCTGTTGGGGTTTAGGGTCTTGGGGGATGTATCAGGGTAGGAAAGCTTCGGGTTTAGCCCTGGACCCTGAGCAGGGATTAGGGATTACGGTGTTAGGGTTTAGGCTCATTTAAAACGGGGAGATTTTGACAAGATTCTCACTTGTTCCGCCGCGAGGTCTACGTCGATGGCGCATTGTTGCCGGAGGATGCAAAGCAAGTCATCGCGTGCTAGCCCTGTACCATAAACTTTAAACTGCTTCCATACCTGTAACTCTAACGGTTTTAAATAATGCGACGAACAGAAACCAGAGAGCCTTGCGTATGGATTTAAAGTCTTGAAGGAGGTCTTTTGGAATTCGGGTCTACGGTTTCGGGTTTTTGGAAGCATACACATCTGTAAAAGCTGAAATGTATCTGGCTCTAAATCACCATTTGAGACCAGGAGAGACTTCAATCAAAGGCAGGCTTCTACATGTTCTTTCTGTCGGCTTCCAGGATGGAGCTGATTCAGGGCTTTCCCGTTCAAGCTTCGTAGCCAAGCAAAAACCTTGAGACTTGCAAGCTAAATCTATACCAGACAGGTTTGGGTGGTTGTCAAAATTATGGTCCTTTTTTGGGTCCCTACTATAATACGGCACCTATTATTTAGGGTACCCACAAAGGGACCATAATTTTGACAGCCACCCAGATAAATCTCTACCAGACAGATGCTACCACCTTGTTTCGGGCTGCGGGGCTATTCTCCTACAAGTGGTTGGTTCCTGCATCTGCGCTCCAGACTCTTTCCGTTTCATTTCTCCGCTCGTGTCTTGTGTAACCTTTGTAAGTAACACGGAGGCTCAAGCTGTATGAGCATCAATTCTGCTGTGCTCGAATTTCTGGGTCGTCGGAAGGATACCAACAAACTGAATACCTCCAGTCCTGAGTACAAGCTCTGAAAGCTAAACCCTAAACCTTAAAAAAAAAACCTAAACCGTTAAACCGTAAACCTTAAACCCTAAACCCCTAGACCCGCAAACCCTAAACCCTAAAACCCTAAACCCTCAACACTTAAACGCCTGAAACTTGAAAGCCAAGGCCCCCAAAGCCTAGGAGCACGTAGCCCTACATCCTGCAAAATCACCCGTATAACCTTGAAAACCAATCTGCAATACGGCCCAGACCATGCAACCCGTGAGCCACAGTCCTAGAGAGCCCAATACCCCTTAATTAAGGAATATGGCTTATGGCTTAGATGATATAGGGCTTCATATTATGATTTCAGCTATATTCCTTAATTGAGGGGTGTTGGGTTCTCTGGCGTCCAGCAGAGCTTTGACACACGTTTTCCCTTGATATTTCTTCTTATCAGGACAATGGACTCTTCCCCCCAATCTCTATTTCAAGTATAGTATAATCTACCCCCTCGCAATCTATTATTCTAGTCAAGACGGCTCCAATACATTCCAGGCGAGCTTTATTCTATTTCGTAAGGCCCCATACATTAGTATGCCCCCAACGTCAAACCCTAAACTCCAGGCCCAATACAGCTCCCATAGATTCCAGGAGAGCTTTGACACCAGCCAGCTGGATCCACCTCGCCTTCCAGAGCTCTCCGATCCGCACGGTTTCTCGAGCTGCACGTAAGGTTTAGGGTTCGGGGTTTAGGGGTTTTAGGGGTTTAGGGGGGATTGGGGTTTGGGGCCTAAGGCTCAGGCTTTAGAGGTCTCTTGGGGTTTAGGATTTAGGGGTTTATAGGATTGGGGGTTTAGGGTTTAGGGGTTTGGGGTTTAGGGAAATTGGGGGTTTAGGAGGGTTTTGGGGTTTGGGGCCTAAGGCTCAGGTCTCGGATTTTAGGGGTTTTGGGTTTGGGGCTTAGGGTTTAGGGGTTTATAGGGTTGGGGGTTTAGGGTTTAGGGGTTTATAGGATTTGGGGTTTAGAGTTTAGGGGTTTGGGGTTTAGGGTTTAGGGTTTTGGGGTTTAGGGTGTAGGAAGAATTACAAACAGTTTCCGTCATGGTCCCCAATATTAGTGCAGCATACAGCGTATCCCCCAAAACCGTATTCTGTTTATTAAGGCCGCGAAACCAAGAATACATTGACTCCACGAGAGCCCCGTTCCAATTTTTCTGGGTTGCACTGCATCCCAAGACCCAAATCCTATATCCAGAGCCCACCGGATATAAATCCACAACCCAAGGTGCCAGACGCGAAATCCCAAACCCCAATGGAGCGAACACAACATGAAGCTAATGTACAATTGCCATACTACGTACAAAACCATATTAGGGATGGTCTTTTGGGAGCTAGTTCCATAATGTTATATGGGTGGTTGTCAAAGTTATGGTCCCTTTTGGGGTCCGTATTAGAATACGGCACCTAAGAGTTAGGGTACCCAAAGAAGGGACCTTAACTTTGACTTGTGCCCATATGGACCCTTACAGTAGAAGCCAGCAAGTTGGAATATCATTATCGTAACCCCTTTCAGGTAAATTATAGGGGATCCTACCATTAATCCATATTCCAACTTTCTGGAGTTCCCTTTATAGGGTTCCTTATTCAGCGCCCCAACTAAACCCCAGGCTCGTACGCCTTCGACCCACATGCTCGGCGCTTCTACCTTGTGATGAAGGCACGGGAGCCAGTGAGTGAGGTCAGGGTTTAAGGGGATGAGGGGTTTAGGGGGTTGAGGAGGTTTAGGGGTTTAGAGGTTTAGGGAGTTTGGGTTTCGAGATTATCGTGTAGGATTCCTGCTACTTTGAGTTGTTTTGGTTTGAGGTGGGTTTTTTGGGGGTCGTCAGGTCCCCGTTGTATGGCTGAGCATAAGACCCGTTTCCCCACTATAGGATTCCTTGCGGGCACTGAGGAGGTTGGGGTGCTTGAGGACGTCGGCTGAAGGGGTTTCATGTTTCGCAGTTGGTCAGTCCTCTGGTATTTCGGTGTTTGTATACCTAGGATGCCCAGTAGTACCCTTATTCCCTTTTTGTAGTCCTAGGTTCCTTACAAAGTTACCCAATACGAAAAAGGGAGCCCTTTTATTTCCTAGGTTACTGGGCATCCCTAGATACAGTTCATGCGAGGAGTCGTCACTCGCTTGAAAGTTTCGGGAACCTTTTAAGTGCTTCGGTTGATGATATAAATCCTGCATTACCCATAATAAGGGTCCTTAAGGTCATGCAGGATTTGTATCATCAACCGTTGCGACTGCCCTTTCGAATCATTCAACCGGAAACTCAAACCTAAAAGCAATGAGCATCAGCACCTTTGCAAGGAGCTTGGTGTTTGTTAATCCCTAACATCCTGGAAGCTAAGTTCTGGCTGGATTCCTTGTGAGGCTTGTGGTAGCTCATTCCGGTTTAGGGTTATAACTACAGCAGCCCTACACCCCTAAACTCAAATTTGAAAGCCCCTCAAGCCTGAACCGTAAACCCTAAACCTTAAACCCTAAACCCTCAAGTTTGAGCTGTGGTCGTGAAGGTCTGAGGTGCTATTCGTTAACTTCTGTCTGAGTTCAGGTGTTCTAAGTGAATGCCTGTTGCCTGCCCAAATGGGCTTTTGAGCGAAAAGAGGCCCTTAAAAAAACCTAAACCCTGAACCCCTAAACCCTGAACCGTAAACCTTCAGGGCGGAACCTTCGCCGGCCGCCCGGCGACAACGGGAGGTGGCTATGTGCTGCTGAGGAGCCGGGTCGCATTGTGGAGGGTTTAGGGGTTCCCAAAATGTTTAAGGGCCCCTTGGCTTTTGGTTTAGGGATGGTTCGGTGTTTTTAAGGTGTGGGCTTTTAATGTTTTCTGTATGATGGTGCATGGTTTATGCTTTGTCAAACTGTTGGATGTCCGTTCTCGCCAGAGGTTAGGAGTTCGGGGTGTAGCGCTTAGTGCAGCTTTTCGGGTGGCAGGGTAAGAGATCTCTGTTTGAGTGGCTCCGTGTTTTGCTTGTTTCAGTAGTGCTTGTCAGTTCTTTCCTGTTTTTGGTTTTGCTTCCCCCACAGCCTTCAGGCAGCCCTGAACACTAAGCCTGTATTCAGGGTTTACCCTAAACAGTAAACTCCTATTCTAAACACCTCGACCCTGAGCCCTAGCACGAGGTTTGGATTGAAAAAAGGGGTGTGTGTGAATATATATATATATATATATATATATATGTCTGCATATATATATATATATATATATATATATTTATATATACACATACGCACATATGTACATGTATGTGTGTGCATATATAGATACGTATATATGATTCATTTTTGTATTTGCATATGTATATATACATACATATATATATAGAGAGAGGGAGAGAAGTCTTTAAGTTTTAGTGTTTCGGATGTCCCTAGACGTTTAGTATCATGCTTGCGGGCTATATAACTTTAGCAAGACAAAGTTCACCATGAACCTGAACCCCTACCCAGCACCCCCCCCCCTCCGCCCCTCACCCACCCCCAATGGTCCTTAATAGTGGGTATTTAGGGTAGGATGGAGGGTAGTTGGGCCCTAAACCTTAAACCTAAACCCCTACAGCCATACACCCTAAATCCCCGAGCTTGTCTTGGAGGATGCTCCAAGTTGTTCAGATCTCCATGCAGCTGTCCGTGAAGCTGGCTGCGTCCTTAGTACTTAGAGTTTTCTTGTGGTGTTGGGTTTAGGGCTCAGGGTTCAGGGTCCAGCGATTAGGGTTCAGGCTTTAAAGGGGTTTAGGGTTTAGTATAGGGCGGGTTTATAGGGTTCTCCATTGATGAGTTCCTTTGAAGAATTCCTTCAATGATTTCTATAAGGGTTGTGCAACGGCTTAGGGATACAGGGCCTTCAGTAGCAGGGAATTAGTTCGAATCGCGAAGGCTCGGAGGGTATAGGGGCTGGCGTCGCGGGCTTAAGTCTGGGATCCAGGGTTTAGGTTTTAAACCCACAATGCCCAAGCCTTGCGCCTTAAACCCCGGGCCCCTACCCGTTCCAGCCGTAGGAGTGTTTTCCTCACAGGCCGACTTCGATGGCCCGAACATTGTGAACAACCTGGCGACCCTGCTCCAAATCGACACCTCGAGGATCAAGCCGCTCGTGCTTTAACAAGTAGTGGTTAGAGTATTTGCTACAGGCTTTTCTTTTTGTGTACAGAAAGCTTCTTGTAATCAGAGATATCTATGCTCTACCCGGAGGGTCCATGTACACAACTTCGATACGTTGGCCTTAGAAACGGTTCACGTACGGGGCGGTTGGGTCCCCCAGAGCTACGAAAAAATTACGGCACACGCGGACCCCGGACCCTTGGGGTCAGACAAGCCGACAATATTATATTATGTTATATTATATTGTATTATATTATATTATACTATATTATATTATATTATATTATTTTATACCTTGTAAAACTGACGAGCCAAACTCAAGCTTGCCTTCCACAAATCACGAGACCCAACCCCGAACCCGAAGTCCATTTAATCGCCTGTCCCTGAGCAAATAGCCGATTCGCTGTTGAAGCCAGCCGTAAAACCCGAGGCCCCTAGTTTTCCCTACACTGAGGATCGTGTCTGTGCAGACTGCCGCACAGGTAGCGGGGGCAGGCCAGTGGCTCATTTTCTAGCTTTCCTTGCAGGTGTTGATGTAGTTCTTAAGGCTTAAGGCATTTGCAAGATGTTTTCTTTGTGCAAAGGGTGGCGCTAGGGCTTTCTAGGAGTCTATATAGTGACACTTTCTTATCGGATTGTGTAGGTGTGTAGTCGGTGCCTGTTATTGTTACATATCGCAAGTTTCTCCATGTAGTAATTGACGGAGAAGGGCCCAGCACATGCCATGCCATCCTAAACCCCGAAAGCCCTGCCCTCAACCTCGCCATCAAGAACTCCGTGGGTGCCTTGGCGCCTTTGTCTGTCATGCCGTTCCACAATACACGAGTGTCAGAAGTTATTGCAAGGAAAAAAGTCGTAAGATCCCATGATAAGGACCAATTTTCTGAACTCGCTTTCATATGTGCATAGAACAAAGTACGACAGGCCGCTCATTCACCAACATCCACCATAACGAGCAGATCATGGACATATCTGATGATTGAGCATGCTGGGCATACGTGTCAACTCTAGCAGTAGCGGAACATATACCTGAGCTCCACTACACACGGTTTCCCTGTCGCTTTGTTTTACTTGACCACAAGTTTGCAGCCAAAGGTACAGGAACAAGCATGCTCAGCTCCACCACCGTATATCGACATGAACTCGATGTTTGCCACACCAGTCCTCTGAAGGTTTGAGCACGCTGCAGAAACACCGAACTACAACTCTGAGTTTAAGGCACAGTTTGAGGTTTAGGGTTTAGGAACATTGGATGCGCGTTATGCAGTTTGGGGTACATGGTTTCTGCGCCAGGTGGACGTCGTTTGCAGGCTGATGGCGTAGATCTGACCTTCCAGATTGTCGAGGACATCCGATTTTTCTCTTGCATTTTGCGCATTGGCCGTTTACGGGGGTGGTTCCTTGGCACAACGTTGACGGATCTATGCGAGTTGCAGACACAAAGGGTCACCACTATAAGCCGAAATAGTAGGACCTCCTCCTCCTCTTCCTGCTCTCCCTAAATTTTGAAAAACCTATTGCCCAGGACCTAAATCCTACACCCTGAGTTTGAAGACCATAAAACCCTAGAAAGCTCAAACGCAGAGCCCCGTGCTGTGGTACGGTTGATGGTATAAATCCTGCATCACCTTAAAGGACCCTAGACTATGGGAATCACGGTATATTCCTTATTAGGTCATGCAGGATTTATATCCCTAAACCCCATAGATCCCTTAAAGGAACCCCTAAAAGGTACCCTTAAGATCCCTTTAAAGGAACCCAGGATTTATATCATCAACCGTAGGAGAGTTCAGAGCCCATACCTGGCGAGGTCGCATCGCTCAATCGGGCTGGGACTCTACCGGGTTTGGGGTTTGTAGGGTTTAGGAGTTTAGAGGGGTTTAGGGTTTAGGAGTTCATTGGTGTAGGGTTTGTAGGGTTTAGGAGTTTAGAGGGGTTTGGGGTTTTGATTTTGGGTTTAGGGCTTATGGGGTGTAGGGTTTAGGGCTTGCCGGGTGTAGGGTTTAGGGCTTATTATAGGGTTTATTGTTTTGGGTTTGTAGGATGTAGGGTTCAGGTGTGGTTCTCCTGGTTTGGACTTTCATGTAGGGGGTTGCAGGGTTTCTGCGCAGGTGCTCCAGTTGGTGTGGGCTCTTTGGGTAATCGGCTCTTGGAACCTGATTATACCTACTAAATAGTTTGGGGGCTGTATCCTACCATCGAACGGTCACAAGCTGGTGCTTTTTTTGCATTGTTCGAAGCTTCCGGTACATTGTAATGTGCCGGTCGGTTTAGGAATATGGGCTCCTTTAATGCGTCGGCTCGGGGGCTAATTCCGACCGGTACCAAAAATTTGGGCGGTCTAATTAATGCGTTGTTTTTTTGGCTGGGGTGATTCTTTGGTGGCGGGGCTGTGCTATTTGCTGATGGTCAATCTTAAGGCAGCCACGACCTAAACCCCCACCCAAACCCCCACCCAACCCTAAAACCCTGGCCCTGAAGACCTAAAATCTTTTGCAGAATTGTTTCGCTTATTGGGGCGTCAGGAATGGGACTCTGTACTACTACTGTACTACTATTGTACTATTGTACTGCTACTGTATGCCTTGCTTATTGGGGGGGGCTGCTAGGGTGAACCGCCGAATCGGGGATTCGACCCTAGCTCAAAAGAGGCCTCTCCAGTACTAAAGTTTGTATAAAAAATTCAATTTTGGGTCCAATCTGGACCGACCCCCCTTTGGGAAGGTTTAGGGCTTAGGGTTAGGGTTTGTTAGGGTTTAGGAGTTTAAGGTTCGTTAGGGTTTAGGGTTTGTTAGGGTTTAGGGTTCAGGGTTTAGGGTTCAGGCGCTGGCTTTATGCTTTGCTTATTGGGGGAATGTGCTCACTGGCTTTATGCTTTGCTTATTGGTATTATTTCTGTACTATTACTGTATTACTACTGTACTCCTGTACTACTGTTGTACTACCACTGTACTACTAGTGTACTACTGTACTACTATTGTACTACCACTGTACTGTTACTGTACTACTATTGTACTACTGTACTACTATCGTATTACTACTGTACTACTATTGTACTACCACTGTACTACTGTTGTATTACTATTGTACTACTGCACTACTAGTGTACTACTACTGTACTACTACTGTACTACGGTACTATAATCGTACTACTACTGTACTACTACTGTACTACTATTGTGCTTCTATTGTACTACTGTACTATTATTGTACTACTACTGTACTACTATTGTACTACCACTGTACTACTGTTGTGTTACTATTGTACTACTGCACTATTATTGTACTACTACTACTACTACTACTACTACTACTGTACTACTACTGTACTACTACTGTACTACTATTGTAATACTGTACTATTATCGTACTACTACTGTACTACTATTGTGCTACTATTGTACTACTCTACTATTATTGTACTACTACTGTACTACTATTGTACTACCTCTGTACTACTGTTGTATTACTATTGTACTACTGCACTATTATTGTACTACCACTGTTTTATTTCTACTGTACTACTATTGTACTACTGTACTATTATTGTACCGCACAAAGCTTCAGACGTGGTCGATTGTGGGTGGGAGTGTGTGAGTGTAGGTTACGGAGGCAAAAGTGTTCAAAATGAAGGGTTTTTAGTCTTGGTAGTAGTCTTGGAGTGATCGGGGCTTGGTTTCCAGCATTTGGTGATCCCCAGACCCCCCCGACCCCCGACCGCGCATTCGCGCAGAACCGCAGACCCTGCACCCAAGCCAGCCCCCAAACCCCGGCACCTCCCAATTCCCTGCCACTCAGTGTGCGGGGTTACCGGTTCCGAATTAAAGAGACCAAAACTTTTTGGTCGGGGGGGGGGGGGGGGGTACCTCACTATTAAACCGACCGCCACATTAACCCCTACCCTATCCCTCCAAGGACCTCATGGTTAGGGCACTAGACCCCTTAAGTACCCCATAATAAGGTCCCTGGAACTTGCAGTCCGAGCCCTTAAACCCTAAACGCGAAACGCTGGGGACGGCAAGCCCTGAAATCCTGAGGCCCTTGAACCTTCCAGGGCTTCGAGTTTACTCATAGTCTCCGGGTAGCTTAGTGTTTAGGGTTGAGGGTTCATAGCTTATAATTTATATCATGGGATCCTAACTACACAACTGGCGAACCCCAGAACAGGAGCTAGAATGGAGACTGCAACGTGCGACTGCATTCGACTTGTTGTTGATGTGAGTGCTTGCAGAGCACCTTCCGGGTGTTCGCTGTTACCAGGTCGACACAACGATATTCCCGTAAAGGTATTCAGCTATAGCATATGCCCAAACCTCATTCTACTGATGCAGTCGCCTATACCGAAGCCAAACTCGTCATAGAAACCTTGTAAACGCACCTTTTACGGGCCCTGCAGAGTTTGTATTCACTCGAATTACATCCGTGGACCCGAAAGCCAAAGCCTGCGATCCCTTGAGCTCCCAAACCTCAAAAACCCAGAGACACCCCAAACCCTTCAACCAAGCAGTATGCTGCACCACATGGTACAGTATAAGGGTTTTAAAGGTTCAGTGTTTAGTCCCCTAAACCCTAAACCCTAAACCCTAAACCCTAAACCCTAAACCCTAAATATTTAGGGTGTATCTGGATCCCGGCATATTTTGAGGAATATTCCTCAATCAAGAGGCTTGGGAGTCTCCAGGAAGCCTGGAGCCGATATCTTCTACCATGCGGTTTAGGGTTTAGGGGTTTGGGGCTTTAGGGGTTTAGGGTTTAGGGGTTAAGGGTTTAGGGGTTTAGGGGTTTAGGGTTGGGGGGGTTGGGAGTTTAGGGTTGGGGGTTTAGGAGTTTAAGGTTTAGGGGTGTAGGGTTTAGCGCCCGAGGCAGAGAATGCTACAAGCGGCAACGAGTCAGGCCCAAGAGTGTTTCTCGAGGTGTTATGTGTTTTTTGTTCGTGGTGTTTTAGGCTTGGGGTTCAGGTTTTGGGGAGGGTTTGGGATTCAGGGTTTAGGGTTGCGTGTTGTTGATGTTGATTGGGCCTTGTACAGGTGGCTTTGAGTTGTCGTAGGATATTTTCAGGTCTCGATGGGCTGAGTATAGTGAACTTAATGAACTTAGCAGTTCGAAAATAGCTTGTAAGTCTTGAGTGCGAGTATTATGCGAAAGCCATGACCAAAATGTCAGATCCCTAGATGACGGTGCTAGCGTTTGAGGTTTAGGGTTCACGTTTTAGGGTCTCGTGTCTCGGCTTCCGGGGTGACCTGGAGGTTCATGGGTAGTTATAAGTAGGGTTGTAAGTAGGATAACTATAGTTATAACCCATATGAGAGGACTTATAACCCCACTTATGACTACCCATGAACCTCCAAGTGTGGACATCACAGCCCATGGGAACCATGTAGCTAGATCGTAGATCCTCAAGATTGGATGCATCTATGATAGAATCTAGAGGAACCTCTTTAAGGCCTACGTATATACTATATCGGCACACGGGCCCTTAGGTTAGCTCAGTTAAGGGCTTTCCTGTGCACAACCCTAAACCCCTAAACCCCCAAACCCTAAACTCCTGAACTCCCCAACCCTAAACCCTACACCCCGAAACCCTAAACTCCTAAACCCACAAACCCTAAACCCCTAAACCCCCAAACCCTAAACTCCTAAACCCCCAAACCCTAAACCCCCCACACCCCGAAACCCTAAGCACTGCAAGATGACTCCTTCGACTTCAGCGGGGACTCTCTTGCGAAGCTCACGCCACTGGTCCAGGCAGGGGGTCGCTCAGGTTGTAACTTACTCTTGGTTCCTGAGTGGAGCCCTTTTGCCCTTGTTCTTTTAGGGCCCGTTGTTTAAAACCGAATATTAGGAAAAAGGCTACCCTTATTATAAAGGGGCTACTCAGGAACCTAGTACTACTGTCCCTGGGCATCTAAGGACTCATATGTTAAGGCTTTTGGGCCCAAAGACCATATTATATAAGGCTTTCGGGCTATTTTGATGCAAAGGGTGTAGGGGGCTGAAACCAGGAATGGGGTTTAGGGTTTAGGCAGGGTTTGGGGGTATGTTATACCTACTGCTGATGGACAATTTCCTGCATTACCCATTATAAGGAATATACCATAGTTCCCATAGTTTAGAGTCCTTAGGGTCATGCAGGATTTCGTCCATCAACCGTAGTAGTAGAGTGGAGTAGGGGACCTTTAACTTGTTTTTGGGTAGTAGAGTCCCGATATAATCCTTACGTAACCAAAACGGCTAACCTTTCGTTCCCCGCGATACCCGACATGTAGGTATAGTAAGAATATAGGAAGGAGGCTTCGGGCATCATATTGGCGACTGTTTAGGCATAGAGCGCATTGTCAACTTTAACATGTCTGACTTTAAGCTGTGTGTCGGTCTACCCGTCTGTGTGTCTGTCCGTCTGTCGTACATCCGTCTGCATGTATGTATAACATGTTCTACCTACAGGTGTAAACATCGAAGCTTTATCAAGATCTTAAATAGTCGTACGCCCTCGAGCCCTCATCTTGAACCGCAAGCCCTAAACCGTAAGCCCTGAGCCCCAAACTGTAAGCCACTGTAAGCCTTCAAGCATGCACCCTAAGAGCCCTACACCCGAGCCGCTGACAGATGCAGCCTGACGTCCGACATTTTCAGGGTTTGCCAGCCGTATGCACCCCACAACGATATGAGAGTTTCCGAAAATAGGGGACCCTAAGGTAGTACCCCAAATAGGAGGATCCTTACTATAAGGACCCCAACATAAGGTACACCTATCTTCGGAAACTCCCATATCATGCTGGTAGGGCTCTAGGCTTGGTTCAGGGTTTACGGTCTCATTAGGTTTTGGGGCGTGACGTTATCAAGGGTTTTAGGGATTCTGGGTTTTGCTGAGTTTGCATTTCATTCAAGAGCTTTTGGTCTAAACCTTATTAAAGATCTCGTGTTGTACGGGGTTTGCGGTTTTTAGGGCGCTCGGACAGCCACGGGCTCACTTTAATCCCCCTGTACACTCGATAACTTTACCTCATTTTGGGGTCCTTAGAATAATAAGGATCCTACTATTTCGGGTACTATACAAGGTTCAGTATTTCGGAAATTCACCCTAACCCCCAAGCCCCAAACCCGGAACATGGCGAGTCGGCCCTTGGCTGCACTCTGAAGGTGCTCCAGAACGCGTCAGAGACGGGAGCTCTTTCACAGGACCGCTTTTGAGGGCTCTTTCAGGGTTTAGGGTTCTAGGTTTGGGGATTTGGGGATTTTGAGGTTTAGTGAGGCTGTTTAGGGCTCTATTGGGGTTTAGGGTTCCAGGTTTGGGGATAAGGTGGTTTTGAGCTTTAGTGAAGGTTTTGAGGCTTTAGACTTTCATGGTTTTGGGGGTTTAGGGGTTCTGCGTCCTGGGGTCTGGGAAGGCACTACTATTGATCATATAGATCCTGCATGACTTTAAGGACCCTAGACTATGGGAAATATGGTATATTCCTTGTTTTGGGTAATGCAGGATGTATACCATCAGCCGTAGAACTACGTCTGCTGCTACTGCTCCTGCTACTGCTACCGCTACTGCTACTCACAAGTAGCTAGTGCTAGTACTACTGCTACGACGACTACCACTACTAGTAGTAGTGGTACTGGTACAGATACAGATACGACGACGACGACGACAACAACTACTACTACTTGGAGGTTCATGGGTAGTTATTAGTGGGGTTATAAGTAGAATAGATAAAGTTATACTCCATATTCGAGTACTTATAACCCCACTTATAACTACCCATGAACCTCCAACTACTACTTCTACTACAACCACTACTACTACTGCTGCTACTACTACTACTACTACTACTGCGACGGTTACCACTACTCGCTACCAGTACTAGTACTGGTACTAGCACTAGTACTACTGCCACCACTACCACTACTACTACAACAACTACTACTACTACTACTACTACTACTACTACTACTACTCCTACTCCTGCTCCTACTCCTGCTCCTACTCCTACCCCACTGCTACTGCTACTGCTACTGCTGCTGTTACCACCGCTCCTGCTACTCCGAATGCGAATGCGACTATCACCAGTCACCAGTGCTGATGCCAGCATGCAGGCTTTGAACACGGGCGTGGTGGTCCGAAGCATTGAGACCACAGATCCAACGCTGCCAGCTGCGGTGGAAAGCACGACGACAACTTCCGCCACTGCTACGACTACAACCACCACTACGGGAACTGCTACAAGTACGACCACAAGCTCCACCACGGTTACGGTCACAGATACTTCGACTCAGACGAGCACCCGTACGACTTCGCATACGACTACTACTGCAACCACAAGCATCACCACCCAGACAGGCACAACTAGTCGCACGGCCACACGTACAACTACCGGCACGACCTCCACATTCACACAGAGCACCACGACCACCCTTACTGCCACAACCGTGACCACGACACCGGACGTGGCAGACGGTGCCACGTGGACCGCAACATCCACCACCAGTTGGAGCACCACTTCGGCCACCCACACGGAGACGACCACTTGGAGCACCACTCGGACCGTGACTAGCACGACCACATACACGGCCACCCACACGGAGACGACCACTTGGAGCACCACTCACACAGTGACTGACACGACGACGTACACGGCCACCTACACAAGCACAGACACGATCACCGACACGACGACCGGAACAGCAACAACTACTCGCACTGAGACCACAAAGACTTCAACTCATACAACCAGTGTCTCAGTCACGGGCAGCTCCACATCTTCGCCTTCCACTGCAGACGCGGAAACATCCACAACTGCCGTGGCCACGACAGCACAGGCCTCCACCGCCGGGGCATCCACAAGCCCCAGCGAAGTAGAGACGTTCACATCGACTTGGTCGGACACTTCCGTGAGCACGTCTGAAGAGCTGCTTCTTGCTACCAGCTCCAATTTCTCGAGCTCCTCGTCGTTTGCAGAGGGACGGAAACTTCAGGGTTGAAGTTTTGAATGTGGCCGCGGCGTAGTTCGAGGAGAACTCAGCCCGCACTCAAGCATCATGCAAGCCCCCTTCGCGATAAAGCTCTTTAGAAAGCCATACAGGAGTCTCTCGATCCGACAACGGCTCTTCAACTTCAGAGAATCCTAGGACACATCACGGAATAGGTCGGGGCGTAGGACAGTAAGTCTCCAGTGTTAGTTGCAGGATGTCTTTCTGTCAGGGGTCTAGACGTAGGTCTCCTAACAATTGGGCAGCTGGCCTCTGACTCTAGTCTCGTTCTAAGTACAAAGAGTAGGCCCCAAGAACCCATGTATATATATATAGAGAGAGAGAGAGAGAGAGACAGAGAGAGAGGGAGAGAGCATTCTGCATATATATATATATATGTATTAGAAGCCCTCCATACCTTAGCATGACGCGTCTGACTTCTCATTACTACCATGTTCGATCGAGCAGAATAGCATAGATTAGAGTAGAATAGAACAGCCCAAAGTAGAAACCGAACATACTAGAATATGTTTATGATAGAACTCTTTGTCGTTGTCAATAGATTACAACACGAATCAGTAGGATAGGACAAGGCGGAATCGAATAGAACAGATAGGGCAGACAAGAGCCGAATGAACAGACTATGCATGGCAGTACAGAATGGAATAGAATCGTGACCCTATGGCCCTATGTGCTTAATTAGGAACAGCGTTCCTTAGGGTTCCTATTAATGATTGTACTACCAATAGCCCCAAACCCTATTCGAGTTTGGCGCTATTTAATTGTGTTTCCGCACATAAATATATACACACACAACCATACCGTACATATATATATATATATACAGTGTATGTTTTTGTGCGTCGAAAGGAAATAATTATTATACACACATTTTATGTATAGCAAAGTAGAACATGAAAGCAAGATCTCAGGCAATGGCAGCCTCAGCGAGACGTTGGCACCCGAGGGAGACCTCGAGGGGCCCCAATTCGCGGCTCGGATTTTTTTTTGAGGAGGGGGGGCTTCGGGGTTTTAGGGTTAAATTAGGGGTTTAGGATTTAATTAGGGGTTTAGAGTTTAGGGGGTTTAGGGATTGAGGGGTTTCGGGTTTGGTTTAGGGCTTTTGGGTTAAGGGTGGCTCGGATTTTCCTGCTGTTTGCGTTAAGGGTGAAACAGGGGTCTTTGAGATATTCAAGGCAGGGTCTCTTTCTTGGTTCCTTGATAGATGGGTAATTAGCGTTCCCTTTTTGAAGGGGCAGGTCCGTATCTAATTTAGGATCCCTTAATTTGGGGTCTATGCTGGAGCTCCTTGTCGTCTGAACTCCCATTCCGGCGCGGCGGTTCTTTAAGGTTGCGCTTCGGGTGGCTGGCATGAGGAGTGTCCTTTCCGGGTGTTGTTGTTGTTGTTGTTGCTGCTGTTGCTGCTGGTGTTGTGGTGGTGGTGGTGGCGGCGGCGGCGGGGTGGTGGTGGTGGTGGTGGCGGTAGTGGTTTTGGCGCTCTAGGGTCTTAGGATTTAGGATTCTAGGCTTTCGGATTCTAGGATATACGGTTGTTTTTTCTGATTTAGGTGTTGGGGGGTAAACTTATAAGCCCTGGTTTTGGGTGTTTTTTTGGGTGGCTTTTGGGTGGAAGGAAGGAGTCGGAAGAACCGTAGTAGGGTTCACAAGAGTTTCTTGTTTACAGGACTGTGTTATAATGACAGAAGTATCCGTATTTTGGCCATGTCGTAATCATAAGAATACGCTCCAGCATGAATACGAACGACCACAATAGAATGTTCGAGATAGCTGCTTTGATCGAATGTCCAGGCCCCTTACATATTTCACTCTGTGGGACTCCCTGGAGGACACCACGTCACCGTCGTTGAGGATCTGTAGACCCGCTTCAGACTATCCGAGGTTCATTTTCGCTATTCTGAAGCCTTTGTTCTCACGTATCTCAAACGTTCTCGAAGGTGTTTTTCCTTCCTTTTTGTGGGACTGGCTGCTCTTCTGGGGATTCGAGGTGCATTTCGTGGTGTTGCAGGCTTTGGAGCTTGGAGGTTATAGGGGTTTGAGGTTCTTGGTTTGTCACGTATGGCGAACAGTCGGCGACGACGCATCAGGCGCGCCGTACTTCCCTGGCAGGGCACACCATGGAGAGGGTGACAGTACCATCATTTCACGTTTAATTGAGTTCTGAGTGTAGAGGCTCTATGAATGTCGATGGTGAATGGCCTGTCGAGTTTATGGAGTGCCGTCAAGCGCCGTGCCCAGGCCGTTGCCGCGCTGATTCCCGCAGAACCATTGGAGCCTTTCCTGCACTGGCTGGAGTTGTTGTGTACATCCTCGTTCCGAAACCTCATACACCTCGTCAACGCCGCCAATCCTGAATATCAAGCGGCCAAACCCTACGCCCCGAACCCGAACATCATACACCCTCTATATACAGACCAACCCCCCAACACTCTAACTCTAAACACCAAGCCCTAAACCCAAGACCTAAATCCAAATGGTCCTACCTCCAGTCATAGAGACCCTTACGGGGGTAAGGGGGAGGGGGGTAAGGGACTCTACTACCTGAAATCAGCCTTATTAGGTTCTTATCATGGGCATTAAGGCCCCCTACCCCCCTAAGGGTCCCTCTGATATAGACCCAGAGAGCCCAATACCTCTTAATTAAGGAATATGGCTTAAATTATATAGGGCTTCATCTTATGATTTAAGCTACATTCCTTAATTAAGGGGTATTGGGCTCTCTGGGGACCCCCCGCCTACCATCAGTGCGGCTGTAACAGCTGTAGGATAGCCTGGGGATTGTGGAAGCAGCCGAAAAGGTCCGGGGGATCTCGCTATGAGGGCCGGTGCCATTTAGGATTTAGTTTACTGATAGCAAGGATCCTAGTATTTTCTTGTGAAGATTGAGGTATGCATGCATGCATGCATGCATGCATGCATGGATTTATGTCTGCATGCATGCATGTATGCATGCAGGTATGCATATTTGTATGTATCTATGTTTTCACATGTGCGTATATAGATGTATACTTTTGATGCTCTGAACCTCGCATATTGGAGTTCTTGAAAACCCTAAACCCTACTTCGACTCCCACGTAAGTGCTGGTCCAGAGTTGAAAACCCAAAGGCTCCATGTACCTTTCCAGAAGATCCTCAAGCCTCAAAGGGGTCCCTATATAGGTACTTTAAGGCCTAAGTAGTTTCTATCTGGGTATGGAGCCTTGGAGAAAGTGGCTGGCGAGGATGGCGTCGCCTTCTCCGTCGCCATCGGCTCGGCCGCAGGCGTCGCCTTCGGTGTGGCCACCGTTAGCGTGCCTCGGATCGGATTTGTTCGGCCTTTCAATGCCCGGATAGTTCGGTAAGTCTAGGCTTGCCCATTTACGGTTTCGGGTTCACGGAATATGGTGGCGTTTTACCCCTGCTGGGTGTCAGAGGAGATTCTTAATATCACTGTTCATGAATGCCCTTGCGGGTGCACCAGAGGAGCGCAATGTAGGGGTCGGAACCCTTAGGAATTGGAAGCCCCGTACCAAAAGTTTGGTTAAAAACATCACACCCTAAACCCTAAACGCTATTCCTACTGCGCCTACAATGTAGGCACGGCTTCAACGCGGAGGTTGGAAGGCTGACTGTGAGAAGTTGGGTTCGGGGATGGCCTGAAGAGAGTTCAGCAACGTTGTCATATTCGTTTTTTTGGGTGGTGTACAGCATCACTCTTGCAAGTCTAGGATTTTGAAGGTGTCGCATTAGGGATTTGCACCGGTAGTCTGGGGATTTGCAGAAGTAAGGACTGCAGGATAGGCCCTGAAGTAGTGGGACCCCGATTATTGATACCTCTAGTCTCCATTGTAGCTCTTTAAACTCGTTAACGGATCTAATAACTGTGGTTTCAACCCCATGATAAAACAAGGTAGCCCCCAAAAAAACATCAAACTGCAACTGAGACGATAAGTGTGCCACTCATCCTGAAGACCACCTAAGTTGTACTAGCATTCCTGAGAAGTCTTAGTTTTAAGCATACTGTAAGATATCCCCAAACCTATATAATTCAAGCTTTCTATCCCAGAGGGTCCATATACACTACAGTTATGGAATTCGGCCCTGAAAAAGGACCATCCCCATTATGGGTTTGAGGACCTGATTCCATAATAGTAGTGTACATGGACCCTCTGGGTATTAGTCTCCATGGTAGTTCCTTTTTTGGGTGACCTTATAGGATCTTACATATGAAACTGGTTAAACCAAGAAAAGGAACTACAATGGAGACTATAGGTATTATTCAATTTTTATACTGAGACGTCTACATGAAGCCCTAAACCCTAAACCTTATTCGTTACATGAACCATCGAGCCCTAGGCTCCCCCGCAAGCTGGAAGACGCAAGCCCGCCTACAAAGTCCAAGGGTAAAAGGAGAGACCCTTAATAAGGACCCCTAGGTATATTATGCCCTTAATATAGCTTTTATATACCCATTATATAGCCCATTATAGGGTAGGGGTCCCCATTAAGGGTCCCTCCTTTTCCCCTAAACCCTAAACCCTTATAGATCCCTTTAAAGGAACCCTAAGAGCCCTAAATTAAGGGTCCCTCCTTTTCCCCTTTCACAAAGGCGCTACTGATCTACCGCGGCTGGCGGACTCCGCCTGTTCGTCTCGATCCTGGTTTGCAATTGAATGGCGGTTTCGGGTCTAGGGTTTTAGGGGTTTAGGGTTTGGGGGTTTTGGCTTTAGGGTTCAGGGGTTTCGGGTTTAGGGTTTGTTAAGATTGCATACAATTGTCGGGTTCAGAGTTTAGCGCTTCAGGCATTTAGGGTTTTGGATCTGTAAGGGGGGCTTTGCAGAGATTAGGGTTTGAGGCTGTCAGGGTTTCGGTTTTTCTGCCTTGGGGTTTGTGGGGTCGAATTTGTTTTGTTTGTCTTCCTGTCTACGTGGGGCTGCGGGGGTTTTACCTTTTTCACATACTCCTCGCCTGTTGTTGGTTGTACCACTTTGGCAGTATCTATGTGACGCCGCTGGTTTCCGTGGGTTTGGTGGATCATGGTTTTTGGAGCATCTTGAGATCAAAGCAGAACAACAGCATTCTTCGCACCTAGAACCTATGAACCTCAACAACATTGCGCAATAAGCCCTGCGACCTAAACCCTAAACCCTAAACCCTAAACCCTAAATCCTAAACCCGAAACCCGAAACCTAAACCCTACACCCTCAAGCCTAAACCGAATGCCCCAGGACAGGGTCCAGCCTCTTACGGCTGTCGTGCCGGTGGCTTGGGAGCCAGCCAGGAAGCTCCCTTAATCTGGGGATCCGAATCAATAACGTAAGGGCCTATATATACTATTCTGGGGGATCCTTAATATCATGTATAATGGCCCCAAAACCCTGTTCTAATTATTCAGGCCCCGATATTAGATACACTTGTACTTATAGTGTTACGTGTTCTACCTACGATAGACCAGACACGAAAACTAAAATCCCATTTATTTAATCTGGCCCGTGTATCAGGGCGCGTCCACCGGACGGAATCGTCGCAGAACGTACAGCGTGTAGAAAGTCTCGAGTGCTCCTAATGCCTGCAGTCGGTTAGGATCTGGGTTTGGACTTGAGGTTTTCGGAGCCAAGAGTTTAGGGCAGTGCGATTTCATCCTATACTAACTGGCTTGTATCGTATGGTGTTTCGAGTCGCAAGTTCCATCTGCAAGGCATGAGGGACCGCTTTGGGGTTTGGGGATTGGACTGAACCTTTCTTCAAACGGATTTGTTGATGCCTCAGAAGGAGCAGAAGCACAGCTGATACAGGACCTTTGATAATAGCCCGGACTATGCAAGCAGCATGCATCTTTTCGTTTTAGGGGTCTAACTTTCGCATTGGGGCTCCCATATGTACTCCAAGCTCTCTTCATGGTGCTCTAAAGATTGCGTGGTCTGCACAATTACATAGACAGTGCAGGTTTTAGCTTAGGCTCTCAAGAGGGGCTTCAAAATTGCGAATACCATACCTTGGTTCAATCCTTGTTACTTAGTTAGTTATCCCTAAACCCCTGAACCCCCAAACCCTAAACCCCTAGTCTACCTTTTATGAGGCCCGAAACTGTGGCCGAAAACACTAAACTTTATGGTAGAACATAATGTAGGAACCTGATTAAGCAACCATGGGCCGATAACCCCAAAATAGTAGGGTTCATAAACGGAACCCCCAATAACGGCACAAGGTCTATAACCCCCAAACTAGTAGATCAGGTTCCTACATCACCACCCCCCCCTCCCCCTCAAGAAAAAAACGAAAAAACCTTATAGTACCCTGTAAGGGACCCTTATCGAACCCTGTGAAGGGCCCCTTATGGGTGATTGTCAAGATGATGGCCCCTTTTTGGGGTACCTTAGATATTAGGTGCCGTACTATATTAAGGACCCAAAAGGGGACCGTGATTTTGATAACCCCCCCTTAGAGTTCTTACCTTCTTACCTTACCATAACTTTACGGTAGAACAAAGAGCTCCCAAGGCGAAAGCAAAAGCAAAGCCTCGACTCCTTCAGCTCACTTGCGACCCCAAACTCAACAGCCTCCCATAACTTACCTTTGGTTAGTAGGGAATGGAGGAATGGGGTACAATTTTAATGAATTACTATTACTACCATTCTTCCATTCCCTACTAGCCAAAGGTAAGTAAAAGAACCCTATAGATCCCTGAAAGGAAGCCCGACGATCCCCTAGAGGAACCCTGTAGATCCCTTTAAGGAACCTGTAGGTAGTCCTTATTTGGGGGGAGCCCTAAACTCTTTTGGGGCTTAGGGCGCCTCATAAACGGTAGAGTAAGGGTTTAGGAGTTTAGTGTTTTTAGGGTTCAGGGTTTAGGGTTCGCGGCTGTTGCTAGGGTTTACCTACGGTCCAAAAAGCCTACCCTTTTGGGATTGTTGAGTATGGTTGTATTATTCGATCTAAACAGGTAGGTTTTCTGGTTCTATGGTTGGCTTTCATTGCTTTTAGAGCCTCATTACGGAGCTTAAACCATGGAAAGTGCGGCCCTACACCCAAAGCCTTTAGACCCCGAAAGCCTAAACCGCTAAACTCGCATAGAAACCCTAAAAGGCCCTTACATCCACTGCAAGCATCCCGAGCACCGAGAAATGTCTGCGCTCTTCCCTGAAGGGAAGTTGCGCCCTGGCAGTTCCGGCATTCTCAAAATCAAGATCCCCATACAGGCTCTGTGCCCTAAACTCTAAACCCTTCTGTTTTTTCGCCCCAAGCCCCAGATCCACCGACCCTAAGCCCAAATCCCAACACCCCGAGCCCGATTCAGGCTTCTATGATGTAGAGGGCTTAGATCTGAGATGTGAGAGAGTTACGGTAAGGGTTTAGACCCGTTGGCCTCCAGCGCTGCCTGGGCACGCACCCTCAGGGGGGTTTATAGTTTAGGGTTTAGGACTACGGATTGCAAGATTCAAAGGGGATCCCTACCCTATAACGGGCTATATACTGGGTATATAAGAGCTATGTTAAGGTCATTAGACCTACGGATCCTTGTTAAGGGTCCCTCCTTTTATCCTTGGAAAGATGCATCTTAAGGCTTCAGAGCTTCGGTTAGAGACCTTGATCTTGACCGATGGCCAGTATTTCTTTTGCGAGTTGCTCCAGAAGCACAGATTTTTCCCTGGGAGTGCAAAGCAAACCATCACCCAGAATCACAGGTCTCTTCTCCTGAATGCAATCTCCGGCACCCCCAAAACCTAAGCTCTAATTTAAAGCCCGTAAACTGCAAACTCCAATCCAGAAGCTTCATAGTCGGACCACGACTGAATAGAACAGCTGCTGCACATTATATGGGTAGTTCTCTAAACAAGGCTCCCTTTTCCTGAACTAAGAGTTGAAAAGGCGTCAACAGGAGGAGCTGGTTGGGGCCTCCAACTCCAAACCCAGATCCCCAAATCCTAAGCCCAAAACCCCAATATAGGGGCCTTAGTAATTACCTATACTATCTTGGGGGCTCCTTATCATAACCATAGTATGCTGGGCCTCAGCATCCTATTGTCACGATGAGGCCCCAAAGCCCTATACCCTTCATAAATTTCAGGTCTACATTAGGGTTATGGCTTCTAGGGATTATTGAGCCGTGAATGGCAGACGCAGTTTAGGATGTCACGGCTTAGGGTAGGGTTTTGAGATTGAGGGGTTCAGGGTGTCTGTTGTCGTAAAATCTACCGAAGCCTGGATCTACGAGCCGCTTTACGGACCTTCATCTTAGCATTTGGTGGGTTGAAGGTCATTTATGTTGGGGCATCAGGAATGAATGAAGGGTCTACATTGCTCCAGACACCAAGTTACGCAATTGAGTCGGGCTTCTGGTCTAAACCACAACTTCGACCCCAGACCGGGGCTCTTCATCGGCTTCTTGAGAAAACTTAGGAGTCATGGTTCGTGTTCAGTGTGTAGGTTCGGGGTTCAGACTGCAAGCAGAGAGTCGGCGATTCAGATTCGGTGCTTGTCAAAATTCGGGTCCCTTTTTGGGCCCTTATTATAATACGGCACCCAATATTTAGGGTACCCAGAAAGGGGCTATAATTCTGACAACCACCCACATGTTCTAGCGTTAAGGGTGTTTGCATTCACTCAGGCTTGATGGTTAAACTATGACACTGGGCAGTTGGGTGGAGGGGATGCTCGCAACTAGGGTCCAAACCTGCGGGTCCCCAAAGAGTAGGTCGCTCTTGCTGTAAGACTGTTGGATATTCTGTGTGAGAGAACACGCATCGACTTGGTTGAGTACAAAATCAGTCACTCGGGCTTACAGCATCTAATCTACCTGGGACAAGTAAAGGACTCTAATTGAATGGAGTCGCGTTACATGCTTCAGATCGTTTAGTGTTCAGGTTTGTGGATTTCCTGCTACAGCTACTTACACTCTAAGCAAACTATCACTACAAGCCGCAATTCCTAAAGTCCTAAACCCTAAACATTGTCAAGCCGTCATCACCAAACTTAGAGCCAGCCATGTCCCTCATCAGGAAGGGAGACCCTGGGTCAAGAAAAACTGCGTAGGCTTCGAAAGGCATGGTCGCAACCTCGGACAGACTTGGTATTGTTAGTTAGTGAGTAGGCCTGAAAAGTGTCCATGACCGATACGATGCCCCACGGTTCCGCTATCTGAATATACTAGAATATGCTTTAGAAGCTGCCCCCACCCTGTAATAGTGACTATAAGGATTATATAGGATTATATTAGGGCCCTATTGTATTCCTATTGTACCACTATTGCAGGGTGGGGGCAGCTTCTAAAATATGCTCCAAAAGCATATCCTGGTTCTCAAGACCCCTGTGCTACATTCTTTTCAACCTGAATTTTCTCTTCTTGTCGGGCCGCCGAATTATCCGCAAGGGTCAAGGTACCTGTGTAGTATCTACTTAGGCTTTGGATAGGTATTTGAAGGCTGAAGCATATACCATGAACTACGTACAGGAAACACCAATCGCGTGAGGTACTTTCTCTCAGGTGTTCACGTGGAAGGACCAGGGGTATGGGGACCGGTGGCATGGATAACGCTGCCCCAAAACCCTAGCCCCCATCGAAGACCGAAACCCCAAACCCGAGATTTCCTTGTTACTTCTTTATGACTGGATCGAATGCTAGGAGTGAAGCTTGGAACCTGTCAGGTGCAAGTCGTGGGCTATTGACCAAGACCCTAACCCATCCCCAACCCCAACCCCTGAACCTCAAAGCCTAAACCCTAATTAATCCCTATCATGAGACACCGAACCAAGTGCGGCTGAGACCAGCCCTTTCATTTAAGTTGGATGTTCTCCTGTCACTTCTGACAGACCGTAGGGTGCTGCAAGGCATCAATGTCGCATGCGCATTAGTTGCCATGCTGCAGCAGTGACGCGGGTCACTAAATCCTAAGAAGCCTTTGAAAACTACTTTTCCCTTACTGAAAGGATTAGGAGACTCAGAACTCATAAGCTTACTCACGAAATCCCTTGATCCTCCAAGTATCGCTCCCGACGCAACCTCAGGACCCTTATGAATTAGTTAGTCTTGTTCAAACCAGGTTTGGAGTTTCAGGTAAACCCTAAAGCTAAACCCTTCCCTTCTGCACAAAACGGTCCCTCCCAACTGAAACCTCTCTCGGAAAAACACTGGCCGTGAAAGGTTTTTCAGAAGCAGAGGACCCTAATATAGTACCCCAAATAGTAGTATCCTTACCCTAAGGCCCCAAAGTAGTTCTTTTTTGGGGTTCATATTTAGAATCTTATGAGTTAATCTCAAAAAAGGAACTACTATGGGACCTCCGGGTATTATAAG